TGCGGTCTGCAGCCACGGGGACGCTGACAAAGTGGCAGGCTGTTTGGTAAAGGACACAGAGACCCAAGCCAGACCGGGCAGACATATAGCCAAACCGCCTCCTTCCTGTTCTGCTCGTCTTCAACTCCAGGCTGGGAGAGCAGCCAAAACACTTGTTGGGCTTCTCCTGCTTAGTCCTTACAGAAGATCCCTTCTGTGCAGCATGCAAACAGCAGGCGTGGGAGACTGTCTGAACATGTGACACCCGTCTCTGCATGAGCTGCGGGGTGACTATCTCCCTGCAGGGTGCTGCTCCTGGTCTCACACTGCCGAGGCCTCCAAGGGCCTTTGATGTGGACAGGGTCAGAGATGCTCGGGATGAAAAACAGAGAGGGGTTCCTTGTAGTACATACCAAAGGATCAGACGTGGGGCTGGGCTGGCGGGGGGCATGGGCAGCCACAGGGAGCAATGCTGGTCACTTCCATCTGGGACACACAGGGACATCATCAGCCCAAAGGCAGCCAGCCCCCTGAATCAGTGGTGCTTTGCTGCCAGTGATGATGGAGGACCGAACTGCTGCAATCTGCCCTCCTCTCAGCCTAGTGCAGTCCACAGCCACTGAGAGCGATGGCAGGAGGGACACTGCTGAGATACAACCCTATCGGTTTTGTCTCTCAAAAGGGTGATGCTGGCAACTCCGTCACATGCCAGATTAGTGGAACTGAGAAGTGGGTCCTGAAAGGCATTCTCAGTGAGGGCGGCATGAGATGCTATGGACCGTTCCTCTACACCTCAGTGTCCTACTACAGCAACTGGATCTCATCCACCACTGAGAGGACAGGACCTACCCACACTAGTCAGGGCGCAAGCTGATCTGCAGGCTCCACCCAAAGACTGGGAAGAGGCTTTCAGACCAGCAGTGAGGATATTTCAGGCAGTTGGTTTTAACCCCAAGAAGGGACAGACAGACCTGAACTCATCTGAGGCTGGGCCATCTGAGATAATTTATAACTCCTGCAGTGGGAAAACGCTTCCCATTTCCAAGGGACACTTACATTTGCCCCAGGTGCTTGGGAGAGGGGTAGCTGCTCCCTTCTTGCTGTTTTATTTCTTTAGGTAAATTAAGTATCCTTTTGCGATCAGAAAGCCTGCTTGGTTCATGCTTGCCATGTTGAAATGATTTGCCCTACATGCTCACACTGCTTCACTCTCTTCTATTGTTAGTGCATGCTCAGAGGTGTTGTACTCCCACGTCTCGCAGGGAATCCCCTTTGTCTCCTCTTGCATTAAGTGATCACCAGGGCTTGCCCAGAGAGAAAGGACAGTTCCTGTGAACATGTCAGATTTGATTACCAGAGAATAACTCCTTGTGGTGATGGAGGGAGGGGGCAGCACCCAGAGCAGAGCTGGCTGACTGAGCCGGGCCTGCTAATGGGCCAGGCAGCAGACCCTGGTAGAAGCCAGCACATGCTGGGACAGACCAAAGAGATGGCCTCACAACTGATCCAGGGTTTCTTTATCATTTCACGCAGAAGTGGTTTCATCTCATGGCAGCTTGCAGGGTGCTACATTTACCCACTTGACAGCAAACTTCCCCACAGGGTCTGCAGTTTCCACTGCCCGCCTCACAGCATCGACAAGCCTAGTGCTGGTTACAAGACATCTTGACCTGGTTCCATGCTCTGCAGTAGCTGTGTAAGGACATCTACAGAAGGAGAAAGGAGAAGGCCTTAATACGTTCAGACAGCAGTGGTATGTTCTGGAGAAAGTGGCAAGGCTGGAACCTAGCCTGGCCTGAGCTGCTGTATTGCTTGCCCCTTCATCCCCTGCTGCTCCCACCGGGGAACAGTGCTCGCTGTGGCATACTGAGGAGAGCTCCTGCAGGTCTACACCAGCTTTGCTTTCTCCTCTGAATGCCACATGAAGCCTGAAGACCCCACACATGGCAGACCCCTTGCATGGCAGCAGGGTTGTTGGACGTGCTCTGCCACAGAGGGGCCAGCAAAGAAAACAGGTTTATAGCCTCACTCTTATCCCAGGGGCAACTACAGGTTCCTTCTTTAGCCCCTTGAGCCCTCACTGCTCTCCAGCTCCTAGAGGCTGGCAGGACTCCGGGCACTGCTGCAAGCCAGAGCCTGGGCCTCCCGGTCAAGGGGAGCAGCTGGGTGAGAAGGGATCTGTTTGCACAAAGACAGGCCAGCAAGCAGGCTGCCCACCAGCCCTGTTTCTGACCTCACAGCACTGGTGCTGATGGGTCAAGCCCAAATCCACACAGTTCTGACCTCCAAGAAAGGCTGGACCACACGAGCCCTGTCCACTGCGGAGGGGGGTGCAGGGAAGCTAAGTACTGGACAGGCGCAAGCCCAGAGCCTTCCCTGTCCCCTGAAAACAAGCAGGGTGTCAGGGTACAGGACCACACTATCCAGCCCATCCAGCCCACCCACTTCTCTCCCCCTGCTGCTGTGCATACGGGACAGGGGTACAAACATGTCCTGCTACCTCCAGGCTCTGACTGCACTCCTATGTGTTATCTCTCCATCTCCTCCCAGGCTGCAGGAGCTGGGGCAAGAGAAGAGTTAAAAATATTCTTGCAACTTTGCCATGCACTCATGTTTGGATCTTGGCTAGCCTTTCCTTACCAGGAAAGAGTCAAGATGCAAGCGAGTAAGAAATGTCTGAGATGATCAAAGAGGACTACAAACACCGGGGAGCCATCAGGGGCTCTGGAAAAGGCCGGTGCAGGTTACATATGCAGAAACATATCGGGCTGCCATACGACCGCCTCTCCTTACACGCATGAGAGGTTTCAGTATAGCAACAGCCTGATGGTGCTTCCTGTCAAATTGCAAGCTATGTCCTTGCGTTGGCTTCCCCTCAGAGCTCAGTCTTTAAAATTTAGCCTCCATCGTTGGGGTAGGGAGCGATCGCTGCTTTGTAAACAGGAAAAGCCTCCAGCTCTGCCAGGCACTGGTGAAACCAACGGGCGAGAACTCTCTCACGACTTCCTGGGGGTCAGGAGCAAGCACTCCAGTCCCCAGGGTGGCTGCAGGTGGGCAGGCAGAGATGCAGCTCCACCAGGACCCAGCGCCCACCTGTCACACATTGGGACTCCTGCACACCCAGCTCCGTCTCACTCACCTCAGCAACGGCCACCTTCCTCTCCCAAGCCTTGAGGCTGTTTTTGAGGTCAGTAACAGCCATCTTCTTCTGCACATAACTCAGCACAGGGGGGACGCTGTAGTCTGAGAGCTGCTTCCACAGCTGTTGATTCACCCTCTCAGCTTCAGCTCGTTGCTGCCAGAGGAATAGGGAGAGAGGGCAAGGAGATCCCAGGGAAATGTCCTTCTGCCAGCTGGTGGCCAGTCCTCCAGCGAAGTAGGCAGGCAGTATAAATTAAATGCTGTGGGGGGAGCAGTGGGATGCATCCACTAGTGCCTCCATCCCTGCCAAGCAGCACTGCTAGGGAGCCCCTTGAACCCGCTTCCCAAAGCTGTGGTTTCCCCGCCAGGCTATGTGTCCCCAGACTGGTACGACAGCAGAGCCACTTCTCCCTGGGGAGGACACTGCCGATGAAAAGTTCAAGGAAACCAAATTTCAGTAAGGTAGCAGCAGGTCCCTGTGGAAACAGGGCCAAAATCCACAACGTGGCCTGTTTTGCAAACCTGTTCCTACTCACTGGCACTGGCAGGAGCCCCGGGACTTGCTCAGACCCAGAAAGGCACACAGGTATCCAGCCCAGTGCTGGGCCTCAAATGGGCATCGGTATCCAACATATCACAAAAAGTCCCTCAAAAGACTCCTCCCAAGTGAAGTCTCAGGGCTTCCAAAATTGCTCCCTTACCTCCTCCACCACAGCAGCTTCTCTTTCAATTTTCTCCAGCAGCTCCTTCCTCTGGGAGATGTCTTTCATCAGAGACGTGGACGTTTCCATGGCATCCTGCAGCCTCCTCTGGAAGATGAGAGCAGGACGGCATCAGCGGGCAGCTCCCAGCCATCTGCAAAGCCACCCCTCTACTCCTCCAGCTTGGTCTCCGCTGGCAGCATAGGAGCTCTGCTCCCAAGGGACATCCACTGCATCACTCATCCCCTGCAGAAGGCAGCGTCATGATCTCGCAGCTCCTGCTTCGCTCTGTCCTGTGTGTCACACTGCAGGAGAGCCCATGGCACAGCAGCTGGAGTTTAGGACTGACACAGACTGAATGGCTGATCGGAGAGATGCCAACACACCCAGCTGAGTAGCACTTTTCACTGACAAGAGCAGACTCAGTCACGGCTGCAGCTCATGACATCTTTTGAAATGTCACAGGTTATGTATTTTCCCTTGCCAGTCAGCACCAAAGCGCCTTCCTATTAGAATTTTCCCCTGGGGTGTAAAATAACCATGCCACAAAGCATGAACCCCATCATCAGGCCGCAGCCAAACACGACTGAAGGCATCACTGCTTTTGGTGTGTTGGGCAAACCTGCCAACCCAGCTGCTAAGTCAGTGGGAAGGCAGAGAGGTGTTCAGCATCCACTGATTGAGAAAGGGAAGGATGCAAGAGCTGTTAATCAGCTTGTGTGTGACCTTCAGAAACAAAAGAAAGGCAAAACGGAGGTCCTGGGAGGTTCACTCACTTTATAGAAGTTGAGGGCTTGAACAGTCTTCCCTGAGGTCAGTTTTAGTTGCAGCAGCTCCTGGTTCTTCTCATCAATCTTCTCCAGGTACTGGGCATTTTTAACCTGCAGCTGCTGCAAACGGACCTCACAGAGTGTCTCTTCCACCTGCTCCTTCTGCAAACCCCAAGGAAGCAGAGCTGTAGGTTGCCGACCAAAGCTGCATCCCAAGTAAGAGAGCTTTGCTCTGTGCGGAAAGCAGACCTGAAGAACACGGTCTTCAGCCTGGCTGCAAACCCGGGGCTTGGGGAGAAATGTGAGACACAGCATGCCACTGAGCCTGTGCTCTGTGTCCTAGCTTAGAGGGTCCGAGCAGTGCAGACAGGTCCCCCTCTGGCAAGGCTTCTGCCATGCTAGCAGCAGCCAGTCCCCAGGGAACTGCTCTGATCCACCAAACATCTTTTCCAGGGCACCAAGGGCACAAAGACATCTGCCAGCTGCCACTCTGTGAGACTTCTGGTCTCAGCCCATGCACACAGGGTCTGGTTCAGAAGTTCTGGTTCTGGGCAGAAGGCCTCTTTGACAAAGGCAGCAAGGCCAAGAGCAAAGGAGGAAGGGGAGGAAGAGGTGGAGGGCCACGCATCTCTACACAGATCAGGCCCTGTGTCTGCACTGGGCTGTACTCCTTTCATTCTTCAAGGGCCCACCTAAGCCCTGCTTCTCCTCAACTGCCACACCCACCTGCCTGAGCTGCTGGTGGAGCTTCTTCTTGTAACCCTTGAGCAAGTAATTTTTCAAGCGCAATTTCTCTCTCAGCAGATCCTAAAGAAAGACAGCAGATGAGAGTGGAATAGCAGAGCCTGGGAGGAGGAAGAGGACCCAGACCCCACTCCTTATTGGTGCGGTTCCCATTCACGTCATCCGCACTGTGGTCTTCACTGCTGGCTTAGAAAGGAGCCCAGTGAGAAACACTGCTTAGCATCACCCTGCCCCAAATGTGGGGGCATGGCCATGCCCTTTCCTGGGCTCTGCTAGGAGCCCTGCATTGTCTGTGCTCACAGCTGTGCTGCAGCTCAACAGCCTGATAAGCACCTGGGCTAGTCACTGACCAACAAGTGTGACAAGGGCTGTCCAAAGAGACTTGCTAAGACAGCCTGAAAACATGATGTAGGCCACACAGGAGCATGGGAACTAGTATTTTCCTTAACCAACATACTTGTCAGATGACAGACCAGCCTCAAAATTTGCCATGATGGACTGACCCTCTGGCGGTTCTTCTCCTCCATGTATCTCAGCAGCTTCTCAGAAGCTATGATACTCCCTTTCTTCCTGGAGATGGTGCTGATGATGTCTTTCTCAAAGTCACTGATGGCTTTCTTAACATCAGACCACCAAACATCTGCTTCTTCTATGACTGCCTGTAGAAATAAAGTCATGTAACAGTCAAGAAGTGCTAACTTCCCTTATTCAAACAGCTTTGGGAACAGAGAATGTTGTAAAGGACCAGGCATGCTCTCTGCTGGCGTTACCAGCATTTCTCCTGTGGGAGCACTACGTTTCATCCTCTGCAGCTCCGGGCACACGGTGCAGGGTCACACAGCACTGCTGCTTCACTGACTTAAAAAGAACAAGAAAAAAAAAATCTCAGGTGCTTGGACTTCAACATCTGTTACTCCATCCTGGCCAGAAACGTCCAGTCTGACAAAGCCAATGCAAGACAAATTACCACCCTTTGTTTACTGTATATGCCCTGGGATGGGCCACCTGCTTCAACCTCTCCTGGCCACTGCAGGCAGCATCAGTGGTCTGAACTGAATGCAGAGGTCTCTCCTTCCCCAAAAGCTCCTGAGCATCCTGGCTAGGAGGAGGTCTTGGCAGGCAGCACAGGGCAGGCAGGCATGGTGATACAGCCACAAGGAGCCTGCAGCAGGAACGCAGCCTCAGAGACTTGGAGCATGCCCTGAAGAAATCCCAGAGACAGTGGAAAGGCAGACCCCAGAAAGGACTGTGTCCAGCCAAATCAGGAAGCTTCTGGGAGCTGCTAGAATGAAAAATATGTCTGGTACAAAGGGCCCACTTTCAAGAAGCTGACTGAAAGGAGATTTTTCTTTCAAGCATTGACTACTTCATCTCACACAGCAGATCTGAGCTCCTCTACCTAAAAATCTTCCCCTGGCCTGTATTATTAGTTCCTGCCATAATAAGATCTATCTTTAGAGACCTCTGATTTCTGCTGGTGTACCTGCCTTCAAGAAAGGGATGAGGTGAGAGGACAGTTCTTGCTCCCACCCTCAACTCAGTTCCACTCACAGCAATGCTCTGCTCGGAACAGCACTCACCAAGCAAATCTGTCTCACTGCCTGAGGCATGGTATGTCAAAAGAGGTGTGAAAAGTAACAAGACTGTTTGACACCTTGGTGATTGCAAGGGTCCTGGAGAGCCATACCTCAAGGTTCTGCAAGGTCTGCTCCAAGTCCTCCTTCATCCTCTGAATCTCATCCTTCATCTCAGTCAGCTCCCGCTCAGCCAGCTCACATTTCTGCTCCACTGTCAAGCCTACAAAATAGTCCGTCGCCCCATGCAGCTTGGATTTGTACCTGCCACGTGTCTGCAACAACCAAGGAACAACGCAGACACCATTAGAAAGCCAGCACTGGCCAACAGTTGCTGCATTTTCCTACATTCAGAAAGAAAATCATCTCAACGGTCTTGGTGGGATTCCAGCTTACAGCAAGGACCAGGAGGCCTCTCCAGAGCAGAGGTAACTCAGGGCCACACCTGGACTGACCCCATCTGTCCTCTCATCCACTCTCAAAACCCTCCTATGCAACCACTTTCAGTTCAATTCAACAGGCAAATCCAGGGTTAGAGGTTAAAGCCAACATGACAGCTTCATGTAGGCACATAAAACACCTCTTTCTAGCAAAGACGCTAATTGTTGTGTAGGACAGATGGGGCCTCCTACCACTTCCTGGGCCAGACACCCGAAGGAGCTGAGCTTCCTGCAGCACAGGCAGGCTGGACCGTGCTCTCGGCAGAACTGGCACCACTTGGGAGCAATTCCCAGTGCTGTGGGGACACAGCAAGGCAGGCACTGCATGGCAGAGGGCAAGTGCCCACCTGGCCAAAGGCAAAGTTTTGAAGCACTCAGTCTGGGACGAACCAGAAAGCAGCTACTTTGGACTCAGGCAGGCGCTAAAACCCAGCTGGTTGAAAGGAGCTCCACCACCACGGGTCTAGAGTTTCTGTTCACTGTGTCTCTGGTCAAAAGGTGATGTTCAGGCCAGGAGGTAAAAATCCACTCCAAAAGCCTGTTCACAGCTCCAGCGAGAAGGAAGAGAACAACACACACTCAATGGAGGTACGCGAGTGTGGATGCATGCAGGTCTGAGCCCACGTGGGCTTACCCGCAAGGGAGGAGAGGAGCAGAGCCTCCTGTCACAGACCTGGCATGGCCTTGGGCAAGACTCCTGCTTTCTTGCCACCAGCCTCGCTATTTGTTTAACTTCTGCTTCAAATTATGCTGTGTGGGGGTTAACTCATCCCAGATCTCCCTGGCACCCGGCCATTCAGGACGATGCAGTGCTGTCACCAAGGGGAGAGACAGCATCAGCTGGAAGAGGAGAAAGGAGAAGGCAGCCTGGCCTTTGCACTGAGTGCAGGAATGGCAAGGCAGCCTGAACTCTTACACCTGCAAGTCCAGCAGCACCTTTTTGCAAGCAGATGCGTGGGTTAAGGCCTCATTGGTGTGCAGCCCACATGCGGAGCACTGCTGGGGGACATTGTTCATCCCACCTCAAACCAGGGAGCTTCCCTGCTGCCCTCCAGTCAGATGAGCACCGAGGCCAGGAGGTCAGAGGGGTAGCAGAGAGAGGCAGGATCGTGGCTTTCTGTGGTGAGGCGGCAGCCAGACCCAAAAACCCAGTGCCTGCAGCAGTAGAGGCACTGCCCTGGCTCCGGAGCAGTACCTGTGCCAGCTCTGGGTGGGCATCGTGGGTCTCGGACAGCAGCTGGAGCGATGGGCTGCACGGCTCCATCTTACGGTACCATTTCTCAAACATTTCCGCCTCCGTTTGGAGCAGCGTGTTGGCGTGGCTGTGAGGAGAAGCGGGTCAGGCTGAGGCCTCGGCTGAGCTCAGAGCCACACCAGGGAGCGGCTGAGCCAACACAGGCGACGGCAGGGCAACAGCGGCCAACCCTGGTGGGGCAGCAGGGCCTGGGGTCCATCACCCCTGCCAGGACACAGGGGGTCTGCCAGACTCGCTTCTTCCCGGACCCCAGGCAGCCGGCGGAGCCTGGGACACCACGTCCTCCCGGGGGTCTGGGATGAGAGAGCCTGGCTGCAGGTGGCCAGGCCGCACCCGCGGCCCAGCCGGGCCACCGCGGCCTCTGGAGATGGTGGCCAATGCAGGGACACCCCGGGGACACCCGGCCCGGCCCTGTCCACCCTGGCCCGGCCCGGCCCGGCCCCTGCAGCCCCCAGCAGGGCCCCGCAGTCCCAGGGCCCCCCATCCCCGCCCGGCCGCCGGTACCGAGCCTCCCCCAGCCGCGCCCGCAGCTGCAGCAGCGGCAGCGCCGCCAGGCCCAGCTCCGCCATGGCCGTCTCCTGGCAACGGGCGGGGGGGCGCCGGGGACGGGAGGCGTGGCACGTGGGGGATCACGGGACACAGGCCCAGGGGGGCATGGGACATGGGACATGGGGACGCATGGGGAACGGGGGGATGGGGGCACAGGTGGCATGGGGGCACGGTGGGACACGGGACACTGGCAGACAGGGGACACGGGGACAGGAGGCGTGGGACAGAGGGTGGCACGGGACACAGGCCCAGGGGTACATAGGACATGGGAACACCTGGGGAATGGGGGGATGGGGGCACAGGGGACACGGGACACATGGGGACATGGGGGACATGGGGACATGGGCACACAGGGACAGGCGGCATGAGGCACGGGGACACAGGGGGGACACGGGGACACAGGGACAGGGGTATGGGGGGGATACAGGGCCACAGGAACAGGGCATGGAGACATGGCGGGACATGGGACACAGGACACAGAGGCACATGGGGACAGGGGGAATGGGGGACACAGGGACAGGGGCACAGGACACGTGGGGGAACAGGGACACAGGGACGGGGACATGGGGGACAAAGGCATGGGGACGGGGCATGGGACATGGTGGGACATGGGACACAGGGCGTTGGGTGACATGGGGACAGGGAGAAGGGGTGATACAGGCATGGGGTCATGGGGAGACAGGCATGGGGACACGGGAACATGGGGACACAGGGACAGAATAGGGAATACAGGGGCACAGGGACAGGGCATGGGGACATGGATGGACATGTGACACAGGATATGAGGGGACATGGGGACAGGGGCATGGGACACATGGGGATACGGAGACATGGGGCATAGGCGGACACAAGAACACATGGATGGCACATGTATGGACACATAAGGGGTCTCGTGTGCACACCCATGCACACGTACATACATGCGCACACACACACATGGACACATGCATACACACACACTGACACAAGGTCACACGCGTGCACACCCCCCCGTGCTCCAGCCCTGCTTCCCCACCCACACGGGGGTCCCGGTGGGAGTCCTGTAGGCCTCCAGCATGGGGGAAAGGTGCTACTGGAAGGGCCCCACCCCAAGGGGCTGCAGTGCAGGGAGGTCCCTCACACGGGGGGGGGATGCAATACCGAAGGGGCACCCCTCCCTCCCCAGGGGGTCTCCTGGGGTGCGCATTGCCCCCGCTCCCAGCTGGGCAGCGAAGCCTCTGGAGGGGTGCAGGCAAATGCTGGCCCCCACCTCACATTTGGGGAGGGGAGGCACCTGCACCACGATGGGGCCTTCTCTGCTTCTTACAGACTCCACTTTATCCTGGTAATACCACGGGGAACAGTAGCACCAGTCCTGAAGGCAGCTGCCCTCACAGGCAGGCCTCATTTTTGGAGTTTTGTGAGGGTGCGGAGCATCACTTCCCCGAGTGTCCCTGTCACTGGGTCCAAACCACAGCACGGCGATGGGCTCTGACTTCCCCAGGCTGGGTGCTCAGGACCAACAGTGGCAGGTGACAGTTCTGTTGCAATGTGCATCTCTCCCCCGAAAGTTGATGATGCAGCTGGCAATGCATCTCCACTGCTTTTCTGGGATGAGGGATGCAAGTCAACCTAATTATATAAAAGAGGGAAAAATCAATGCCCTGGGAATGCTGATCCTATTTCGGGCCAGAATATGTCAAAACTCATCTTTGAAATGCATCTTGAGTCATAACCACATCTGATTCATGGGAGAAACCACACTTCCCAGCCGCCTTGGGCACAGGGATGAACACCCCTCACTGCAGGATCTTCAGCGCATAAAGTACACGATGCCAGAAACGAAGTGTTTCAAGACAAGGAGGAGGGGACAGCACATATGTGGCACAGCCTGGAGGTCCTCTCTGCATGGGGGGGACACAGGGATCCCATGAAGAAGCTTAACATGGGCTCATGAATTAAAACCTGCGTTAAAAGCAGTGCTTGCATGAGCTGGCTGATCAAAACCATAGATATAATTAATACCAGACTGTCGGTCTTTGCATTGGCCCACGTTTTGTGCTGCTCCAACCTGAGACAGCCAGTATTTTGTCATTTGGAAGGATGGGGAGAGGCAGCCGAGTGACCCAGGGTAGCCATGGTGGGATGGTGGGCAGGGATGGCATCTCTGGACAGTCCAGCAATGTTGTATAGGAGTTTTTGCAGCTGCAGGAACATGGGGTGCAGATTTTAAGATGTTTATCGCTCTTGTCCAGCTGCACAAAGCTTTTCAGAGGTCATCAGGAGACTCAGCACGTCACTGCCAGAAGATTTGTCCCTTGCCAAACACCAGGCTCCAGAGCTCTGAAGTACCTTCAGGACAAGATCTCCAGGTGGTTTTAATGGCTGAAAACATATTTTCCCTGACTTTGCTCTGGGAAACAGCTGGATCTTCCTGGCCAGATTGAAAACAGTACTACTTTCAGAGCAAGTAGGTAAAGCTTGGCAAACTGCCCTGAAACTGCAAACAGGGCTTTTTGCTGGGGGAATCGCCAGGCAGCATCAGAAACCACCGTTCCCGCGGCCGGGGCATCCACTGGAGGAGCTGGCAGCACACCAGCTGGCTTTCCTGCAGAAATCAGCCTGGCGTCCCGGCTTCGGCAGCCTGCCTGTGTGTCCCACTGGAAAGTGCCAAGGAAGACTGACAGTGATGAAAGTGCTGCCAACCTGATGTACTCCACTGGGAAAATGATCCTTCAGAGAAATTGGAGCTAACTCGATGGTCAAGCGCCCGTACCCAAATAGCAGCACCCTGTGGAATGCAAATACTCCCTTTTAACACAGGATTTTACCCTGGTCCCATGCGGAATTCCCTGGGAGAGAGGAGCACCTCAGATGTGTAGGGCCTCAGCTCCAGCCGTCCCACCCCATGAAAAGGCCATACACACACACCAGTGTCACAGCGCCACTTTAAACCCATGACTCAATGCCTCAACGCTGTCATAAATTCTAGTTTCTACAAGGGCTGACTGCTTTGCTTATGCATTTCTGCATCTCCTCGGGGCCTAGGAGATGATGTTCTTCATCGCTCTGCAGTCCTGGTAGGAAGAGGCCAGTAAGCTGGTCTCTGGACATGGCAGACATCCCCAAGCACAGCTGGTTTTCCTCTGGCTTTGCTAAGACAGATTTCGCAGGAGCTGATGTCGAGCTCACCTCGCCTCTCCAGTGCCAAGTGCCCTGGGAGAGCAAGCATTTTGAATACATCCTACTCATTTCCCAAAGATCCTGTGAAAGTCTTGGCCTGGACTGCGTTCGGGCAGGACCCAAAGTGTAAAATGACAAAGTCTCATTGGGTTTTCTCATCGTTCAGTCTTAGGCACCTGGAAGTCTCACTGTTTTTTGCAGTGCACAGATGACTCCAGGTGCTTACCCTTCCAGGGATACTTTCCTTAGGTTTCCCCAAACCCTCAAAGCCCAGACCTCCCATCAGCTTTAGCCTTGTGAATCGAGGAGCTCTGTGGGTCCTTTTCCTTTCTTAGCACCCAAAGGAAAAGCAAATCATCTCCCTGTGTACCCCCACCGGGGACAGCAGCCCAAAGCTTCTCTCCTCTGTTTATCAAGTGCTGCTTTGCCCGTTAATAGCAATACCAAGCAGTGCAAAATCCACGCTCAGCTTGAAGGCTTCTCGGCAGCCAGCATGAACCAGCCTGGAGCCACATCTAATTCCAAGCCTAGCCTAAGCTGATGTTTGGAGGCCAGCCAGGAGCAGCGCCAGAGTAAGACCAAGCAACCTGTGTCCTGAGCTCCGCTCTGTCACCTCATGGGCTGGGGGCTGGTGCTGAGACCTGGCTGCACCCAACCAGCGTGGGCTTGGGGAGGGCTGGAGTTGGTAGCTCCCCTGGGATGCAGTGGGCATTGGGAGATGAGGGTGTGAGGTGAGTTGAAAACTGGCCCAGAGGGTGAAGATTAGTGGCACGAAGTCTCCCTGGAGGCCAGTCACCAGCAGTGTACCCCAGGGGTCAATCCTGCATCCAGTCCTGTTGGGAAGCAGCTTTTCGGGAAAGGACTTAGGGTTCCCAGTGGCCATCAAGCTGAACAGGAGCTAGCAACGTGCCCTTGCTGCAGAGAAGGTGAATGGTCTCTTGAGCTCTGCATTAAGTAAAGCATTGCCGGTCCACTCATCTCTATTAATGATTGGGATGATGGGGCAGGGCACACCCCCAGCAGGCTGGCAGATGACACCAAACTGGGAGGAGTGGCTGATACTCCAGAGAGTCATGCTGCCATCCAGAGGGACCTGGACAGGCCAGGGAAATGGGCTGACAGGAACCTCCTGAAGTTTTCCTGAACAAGGAGATGTGCAAAATCCTGCCCTTGGGGCAGAACAACCCCAGGCACCAAAATACACAGGGGGCCACCCAGCTGGGAAGCAGCTTGGCTGAAAAGGACCTGAGGGCCTCGGTGGATGCTGAGCTGAACATAAGCTGCAAAGATGACTAATGGTGACCTGGGCTGCGTTAGGCAAAATATTGCCAGGAGATAGAGGG